AACCGTGACGTCGATCCTCTCATTTATGAGTTGTCCGTCTTACCACGTCTCCTTTCACGTTAGGCTACCTCCTTCGGTGCACTCTTTCCAGGATAACCATCTTTTCACAACTCCAAACTCCCCTTCTCTTATTTTCTTTCGATTCTTTTGTTAATTAATTCTTTTTTTTTAATTAAAAAAACAATACATAAACAACTTGGTTCCAAAGGTCAAAAGTATTATGAGGTCTTAAGTTTAAATCTAAGGAGGAACAAAAATCCTCTTGTGGCCACAGAGGTTCAAATGCGGTGACTCCGGGCTATCTTCTATTAAAAGTATCGATCTTTCCGCAAACAAACTCATCGAAAACATTTCCGATAGCGTCATAAGTCTGAAAGTTATTCAAAAGGTTCTTACCATGTTCCGTTTGTTAAACAACTGTTGAAATGAATTACGGTAATGAAATTTTATGAAAATCAAGAGAATTTTGCAAAATGTTTGCACCTGATTTTACAAAAACAAACTATTGATTAATATTTCAGACTTCCGACATTTGTCAGTTTACAAAAACAAACAGTTTTATTGATTCAGATTTCAGCATCATCTCTTATTAATCAGAAGTGAAATAAGACTTCAAACTTCAACAGCTCTTAAAAAACAAATGCCATGTAAAATTCACAATATTTACACATTTATAATATAACATTTCAATATATAATTAAAAGTGATTATAAAATTACAATATTTACACGGTATAAAAATGTTCACTTGTTTTTTTAAAATTCTCAAGAAAATAAATATTTTTCACATGATCGTAACTATACAAGAGCCACCGTAATTGATCCCATTTTTTTGACCCTTAGAAATATACGTAAAAGAATATAACGATATTTAAGGTGCACATTTTTATTTTGTAGTACTAGAAGGTATTCGTATAATGCAGTGAGATACATTTCGATTTTAATATTTCGTTTTATTTTGTCTCCATCGATGTTAGAATACGATTTTATATGGTACTGGAAAAAAATGATAATGTTTTTATTTTTTGAATAAAATATAAAGTTGAAGGTATTATAAAAATTTGAAAAAAAAATGTATCATTTTAGTATAAAATTAAATATTTAAAAGTTCTTGTTTTTTTTGTACAATTTCTTTAATGCAATTGTTTATTATAATTTAATTTAGATTAAATAATGAAGTCATTTATTTTTAGTTTAATAATATAATTCTTTTATAAAGATAATATTTAGTATTTTGAATTCAATAATTATCCTAAATATATTTTAGATTTTTTATATTTTAAATGAGATAATTATCCAGAATTTGATTATATTTATCTGCANATTTATTTTTGGCTTAATAATATAATTTTTTATAAAGATAATAATTAGTATTTTATTATAATTCAATGATTATCTTAAATATATTTTAGATTATTTATATTTAAAATGAGATATCTATCCAATATTTAATTATATTTATCGATAATTAATTATACGAATTCAAACGTGGAGCTTTAATAAGTTGTACATACGCACAATTTACTTGTAATCTTGAATTTTAAATAATATGTATTAATAAACAGTATTTCATGTATAAAAAATGGTTTTTAAGAGTTTTTGTCAAATGCGTTATAATATAATATAGATTTCAAGGTTTATATTATTATTGTTAATTTTAAAATATTTGGACAAAAAGTTGATATCCAGTAATTCCAACCAGTCCCATATGAAAGTTGCCTTCAAGGACATCGATATGAAGATTGATTTTTTGGTTCACTCAATGGCTAGGCTGACAGGGGGTCCGAGATCGAACCCATGACATGTCTTGTAGTCCGGGAAAGTCACTTCATCACTTTGTCAACTGAGCTAAACGCCAGAAGCGGATAACTTTAATTTTAAAGTATATTTGAATTAAGATAATTATGTAAAAATAATTAAATATAAACCGAGAAATGGGCTGTAAAAGAACCGAATATTAAACGAACTGTCTATGAACCGTTTGACGGGAAGTTCGTTTATTCAATGAATGAAGGAACATGAATACATTCTTTTTTGTTTATTTTAGTAAAATGAATGCACATAAACATTGATTTTGTTCGTTCATTTACGTCCGTTAACATTTCTCCATTTATGTTTATTTACATTTGTTTACATTTGTTTATATATATTAGAAGGGTACTCGCATAATGCAGCGAGATACATCTTCATTTTAATATTTTGTTTCATTCTTTATCTCGGTTGATGTTATAATATGGTATTATGTGTTGAAAAAACGATACTGTTTTTATTTTTGAATAAAATATAAATCTGAAGATACCATAAGAATTGGACAAAAATATATTGATATTAGTGTCAAATTAACTATTTAAAATTTCTCATTTTTTTGTGTAATTTTTTAATWCAAWTTTTTTATWATAATTTAATTTAGGTTCAATAACGAAGTAATTTATATTTAGTTTAATAATATAATTTTTTATAAAGATATTAATTAGTTATTTTGTTAGAACTCAATAATTATTCTAATTATATTTTAAAATGAGATGTTTATTCTTTATTTGATTATGTTTATCCCCAGTTAGTTACACAAATTCAAATATGGAGCTTTAATAAGTTGTACATACATACGATTTACTTGTAATCTTGAATTTTAACCAATATACATAATAAACAGTACTTCATGCATAAAAAATAGTTGTTAAGAATTTTTATCAAATGCTTGATAATATAGTATAGATGAAAAATGATATTGTTTTTATTTTTGAATAAAATCTAAATCTGAATATCATAAGAATTGAACAAAAATATATCGATATTAGTGTCAAATTAACTATTTAAAATTTCTCATTTTTTGTGTAATTTTTTAATACAACTTTTTTATTGTAATTTAATTTAGGTTCAATAACGAAGTAACTTATATTTGGTTTAATAGTATAATTTTTTATAATATAATAATAATTAATTATTTTGTTATAACTCAATAATTATATCAATTATATTTTAGATTTTTTATATTTTAAAATGAGATGTTTATCCTTTATTTGATTATTTTTATCCGTAGTTAGTTACACGAATTAAAACATGGAGCTTCAATAAGTTGTATCTACGCACGATTTACTTGTAATCTTGAATTTTAAGTAATATACATCAATAAACAGTAATTCATGCATAAAAAATGGTTTTTAGGAGTTTTTGTCAAATGCTTTATAATATAATATAGATATAATATAAAGGATCGTATAAGAATAGCAATAAGAGATATGAACCCTTGATCACTTTTAATCTCAATTCCACCCCTGAATTGCTCAAGTTTATTTAGTCAGTTAAATTAAATGAACGAATATGAATAAAATTTCGTTCAATTCGTTTACAGGATATAAACTTGTGTGTAAACTAAGGGTATGTTTGAAAATGAAAATGAAAATGATAAAGAATGAAAATGAAAATGAATTTTCATTCCCATTTATTATCGTTTAATACCTCTAACCAAATACCCTATAAAACGATATATTTGTTGAGGGTAGTTTGGGAAGAACGGGTAAGCATCAAAACGACGCGTTTCGAGGCGGCAACAAAGGGTGCGTTTGGTTGAACAAGCCTAACCAACCACCACTTTCCATTCATTATTCACTGTTATTATTTTTCTTTTTATTTTATAATTTATTGAAAATAAATAAAGTGGTTATAATTATGGCAAAAAAATAAAAAAATATATATTAAAGCTATAAAATTATCCTCTCTCTCCTCTTTTTCGGTTTTCTAAAGCCATACTCTTTCTGGATTTCATCTACTGTTCCTCTTTCTTTCTCTCTCTAGACGGCCGGAAAACTGCTTTCCGTCGCCGGTAAACCGCTTTGTTTGCTGGTATCCACTCCGGTGATTCGTTCCGGGGAGGAATTTGTGGCGTGAGCGCTCATACACACGGACCGGAGCTATTGGTGTTATCGTTGAGTGGTTTTCTGAGATTACAGAGTTTTAACCGCTGGAAATTGCCCGATCTCTGCGTTGGAGGTTGTTTCGAGGGAATGTGGCGGACTTGATTGATGAGATCGTGATTTACGGTTGAGTTTTATTGCTGTGTTTCTGCTTTTGTTCTTCTATTTCCGTTTGTGTGGTTTTGGTGAAGTGAGAGAAGACGGAGGGTTCCGGCGAAAAAGTTCGGAATGAGATGGTATGATTACGTCATTAATTAATCTCTTTTTCTATATTTTTAATGGTGTTCTATATTTTGCTTTTGGGAATAATGTCCCTGAGATCTCTAGCATTTTGTAAATTTTAAAAATATATTTTTCCATAGATTTTGTTTTTTCTGAAAATTCATGTTATTGTTCGCCTTCTAATGGCTGTTTGTTCAGAAAATTAAAGAAGCATCAGAGAGACTTTTTGAGCAGTGCTTCGTCTTTTGTTTTATCTGCTAATGGGAATTTTGCTGTAGCTTCAATTATGATTTGAAATATATTTTTTCTGGTTTTATTGGAGTTATCTACTTACTTTACATTTTTTGACCTTCTGACATCTGGAAATAATATTGTTCACTTGCTTTGCGTCTATTCGATTTGTTGTTAGGAATTCGTTGGTTTTACTGTTCAAAGCGGTTGTTTGACTTTGTTTGGAAGAATCCTGTATGCAGGTTGATTTTTAAGCTAATAATTCCTTTCTTCATTTTCATCATCAAAGAGATGAAATTGAATTCGTGGAAATAAAGTATACAAAAAGAGATAAGTCACATAGAGGTATCTTGAGACGACGAGATTTTTTTAAATTTTAAGTGAACAATCTATATCAAGATTTATATCCAGATTTCTAATAATTTCTTCTGGGGTAAAAGCTCGGTTGCCACCCGTCTATATGTATCGATAGTTTATTCAGAGCAGCTTTGGGTTTGCGCTCCTCTTCGATTGGTAGTCATGAGTTGGAACCCCTAGGTGCATTGACATTTATGACCCGAAAATCTGACTTAAAATGTGGTTTTGGCAGGTGGAAGGAAGGGTTTGTTTCTCCAGAGAGGACTCGATAAAATATCTGAAGCATAAAAGGCTTCAGCGGATGAAACCTGGCACTGTGAATGATGCTCCATTTGTGTCTAACCTAATGACTAGAAGTGGAGGAGATGCTTTAAGAGGTTCTGCATCTTATCGTGATAGATTATTCAGCAATCTGGACGTGTATGGTCAACCTGCTGCTGGTGCTATGCATGAGAGAGATGCTATGTCAAAGCGGAAGGTTGAGAAGTTTGACACAAATGATCTTGATTGGACAGCTAAAATCCCAGAGTGCCCAGTATACTTTCCAAGTAAAGAAGAATTTGATGATCCTTTGGTTTATTTGCAAAAGATAGCTCCAGAAGCTTCAAGATTTGGTAATGCTTCGTTAAAAGTTAATAGGACTACGATGATCCATATAAGCATTACATTGAACCACTACAGTGATCATGTCCCAGTATTCAACTGCAAACATGATAATTGTTCTTGAGTGCCTACACAGTGCAAAGGCATATTGTTTCTAACATTTGAATGTTTAAGCTAATGACCCGAAAGCAGTTGAGATGTAATGAATGTTTTAAGAGAGCAAAGTCATCCGGGGATTAAAACTCTACCTCTATGCCATAAGTATTATAGCTGCCTCCTCCAAATGTTGGGTTATCTCATATTCTATTCTTCTCCCCTGGCATTCTGGCAATAGCGGTTGCTGTGTAGTTGTAGCATCTTCTTGAATTCGTAGTACCTTTGCCTTGTGCATCAGGGTTCTCTCCAATTTCATGTTTTTGATCTCCTACCGCAAGAAGCAGTGTGTGACATCCTTTCCCCTTGAATCTTTGTGTTTCAGGTATATGCAAGATAGTTTCGCCTTTGAGTGCTTCAGTTCCTGCTGGTATAGTTTTGATGAGAGAGAAAGTTGGTTTTAAATTTACCACAAGAGTGCAACCTCTTCGTCTTGCTGAGTGGAATACTGATGATAAGGTCACCTTCTTCATGAGTGGAAGGTGGGTTCCCCATATGATATTGATATATTACTAAGTATGTGATCTTTATTCAGGTCAAGTAATGATTTTTATTCATCAGAAATTATACATTCCGTGATTATGAGAAAATGGCGAACAAGGTTTTTGCTCGTAGATATTATAGTGCTGGATGTCTTCCTGCTACATATGTGGAAAAAGAATTTTGGCATGAAATAGCTTGTGGAAAGACAGAAAGTGTTGAATATGCATGTGATGTTGATGGCAGTGCGTTTTCATCTTCTCCCACTGATCAACTTGCAAGTAGCAAATGGAATTTGAAGGTTTTTATTTTGTTTCAGTTATTTGAAAATCTTGATTCTCACTTACTTGCTTTCGCTTTGTGTGTGTTCATCATTAAGGCAGTCATTATATTGATACGTGCATCTCAATTGTGGTGGTGTTACTTACATCAATTGAATAACAGCGAAAGTGTTACAAAGTTTTCTGTTTTTGTTTCTTTTTATTGTGACACCTCTATTTTAGATGTTGTGTGCATGCCTTCAATTTTTTCAAATGTCCGTACTGTTTCAGAAAAGAAAATGTCCATAGGCCTTTTCATCTCTAATTACAAATTCGAATTTGTTGTTTGCAATGAACTTCCGTCTTGCTTTTTTCTATTTTTATTGCTTTATGCAAACTTGTCTTTGATGATACTTTCATCGCCCATATTCATTATAGTTGATAGTCAATTCATCTGCTTTATGCATGATATGTTTCTGACACGGCAACCGCTGCTTGCATATAAAATTTTGGTCGTTACGTCATTCTTGATTCTGTCTCCCCTTAATGATTGTGTTCCCTTAATAATTGTGCTATAATGTGATTGTTTCCTACTCCCAACATCTTTATTAACCAACATCTTGCTTTTGTTCCATTTTTGATTTCAGAAAGTTTCAAGACTGTCCAAATCCATTCTCCGTCTACTGGAAACAACCATTCCGGTATTCAGATAATTCTCCCTTCTTTGATTTCAGATATTCTTCATGTTCATTTGCTTAGCTATTGTTTGTATGTTTGTAGGGAGTTACTGAGCCTATGCTTTACATTGGGATGCTATTTAGTATGTTTGCTTGGCATGTAGAAGATCATTACTTATATAGGTATGTATTTTTGTTATATAACGTTATCATGTGCATATCTTCTACACGTGTCGACCTTCCCACATTGTATCTCATGTTATATTACGTACGGCAGCATTAATTATCATCATTGTGGAGCTGCAAAAACCTGGTATGGTGTCCCTGGCCATGCTGCTCTGGATTTTGAAAAGGTGGTTCGGCAAAAGGTTTACACTCGTGATATTTTATCAACTAATGGGGAGGATGGCGCTTTTGATGTTCTTTTGGGGAAGACAACCTTGTTTCCTCCAAATATTTTGTCACAACACGGTGTTCCAGTTTACAAGGCTGTTCAAAAGCCTGGGGAATTTGTGGTGACATTCCCCCGTGCCTATCATGCAGGGTTTAGTCATGGTATAATTATTTCCCAAGTTCCAATCTACTTTAACTGCCTTCATTGTTTTTAACTTTTTTTTTCAAAATGGTTTTCTTATGTTCTTTTTCCATAATTATAATCTGGATCTCTCTTTTTCCACACTATGCACTAGACCGGGGGTCTTCACTGAAACAACCACTCTACTCTTCGGGTGGTTGTTAGGTCTGTTTATATCTCACCTTCCCCAGACCCCACAATCGGGTGGGGTATATTGAGTTTGTTTGGTTTCTTCCTGATCTCCTTATCCATAGCTTTATCACCCTACAGTAACACTGCTGATATTTTGAGTTTGGTACAACTTAGGTTTCAATTGCAGTGAGGCTGTAAATTTTGCGATTGGTGATTGGTTTTTGTTGGGATCAATAGCTAGTCATCGTTATGCCCTTCTAAACCGAACACCTCTCCTTCCTCATGAGGAACTTTTGTGCAAAGAATCTATGCTTCTTCGTTCAACTATGGAATATGAAGATCAAGATCTATCTTCTGCAGATGTGATATCTCATCGAAACATCAAGGCTGCATTCGTGAACTTGATCCGTTTCCAACATCGTATCCGTTGGTGTCTAATGAAATCAAGAGAATATATGGGTGCTTCAACACATTCTCATGGAACCATTCTTTGCAGTATTTGCAAACGTGACTGTTATGTAGCGTATATCAACTGCAATTGCTACCTGCATCCTGTGTGCCTCCGGCATGGTATGTTGAGCCATCACTTTCGCCTTTCTGTTTCTTCCAGTGTATCTTCTATATGAATCCTTTTTCTAATTGTGGTATTTCTTGATTTTTCTAATTTTGGTATTTCTTGATTTTCCCAATTGTGGTATTTCTTGAATTTTCTAATTGTGGGTTTTCTTGATTTTCCTAATTGTGGTATTTGTTGATTTTTCCATTCCAGAGTTTAAGCTACTTAACCTACCTTGTGGAGACAACTTTACTATCTCCGTAAGGGAAGACATCTTAGAGATGGAGGCTGTAGCCAGGATGTTTGAGCAGGACAAAGATATTGTAAATGAGGTCCAACAGCAATCTGGAATTGCTACTGACATGGTTCTACTATCTCAACTGTATCCACTAACTGAAGACGAAGCTTACAGTCCATATTGCAAGCTTGTTTTTGGATCTGATGTGAAAATTTTCGAAGCTGAGAACAAGTTCGAACCAGGCTTTACCCTAAAGCGGGGTGGTCCTGAAATCTGTTCTTCATCAGAGAGTATATCTTTAATTAACCATGTAAGATTAAACTTTTCCCTTTGTTTACCTCGTATGATTGATTTTTGATATTTGTGCGTTCCCTAATGCTTTGGGAAAATACGCATCTCGGAACAATTGGGATATATTATCTGGGGTAGAGGTCAGGTCTGCGTTACATCTTACCCTTCCCAGACCCCACCTCAGGTCGGAGATATTGGGTTCATTTAGTTTGATTTTTTAGAACAATTGAGATCTAACTGGGAAGAAAATGTTATAGCAGGTACATGGTGATAGTAGTTCCACTATAATAGATGCCCCGTCTGCTTATTCTTTCGAAGATGTAACTGCTAAAATACATGAAGCATTACCAGTGATTGATGAAGCTCCTCGAGGCAATTTTGCTACGGATATTAGGAATACATATCAAGACAGTGATGATTCTGACTCGGAGATGTTTAGGGTCAAACGTCGTTCATCTTCAAAATCAGAGCACAGAAATACATATGATTCAGCCCCTTCAAGTTTCGAAAATCAGGTAATGAAAATGTTCCATTTGATTAGCCATAAGCTAGCTTATCGAAAAGCTGGTTCAAGTATTGGCCTTTTTCCATCTTTCCCCTATTATTCCCCTTGTACTTTCCAGTTAATTTTTCTACATGTTCTTTAGGTCATGTTACATTGTTATCAACTAGTTTTTAACGAACATGACTAGTTTATTAGCTAGTTTGCCAAACGTAGCCTAGCTGGTTTAAAGCTTTTCTGTGATGAATTCATTAACATGGTGCAAATAGCCTAGTACAAAAAACAATTCTGTGATACAGTGGTTTCGGCTTTCCAGTTATCGAATTCACATTTATATGCACAGGGGCTTAAACGACTGAAGAAGGTACAGCCTGAAGGAAGATCTCGGCATGATTCAGTACCTGAGTGTTCGAAAGCTGGCAATACAGGATCCTTCATTAGCCCCAGTTCCATCCACTCTAAAGAAGCCAAAGAAAGTGTATCAAAAGAAAAGTTTGTCAAAGGAACCACCGCTCCCTTCTCGATTAAGTACAAGAAAATTGGAAACGAAGAAATCGCGGGCAAAAACCGAGACCATCAAAGAGATTATAATTCGTACAACGAACTGGGAAAGAGCACAAGGGAACCACTGCCTCTAGAGAGCGGTCCAAAGCGACTTAAAGTTAAAGGCCCGTCAATGATAATAGGGTTGGAGAACACGTCGCTTTGAATTCAGATTTTCTTAGAGCTTGACTTTGCTAACTTGGATCCAAACAACGTTTCTAAGTTTCTAACAACACGAAGACAAAAAAACACGCGAAAGCAGCAGAAAATTGACCCACAATTTTTAGATGAAAGAAAAGTATATTCTTTGTGCAGGCCTCGAATTGGGGTGCGATTGGCACGGTGAATGGTTCGTTCTTTTTTTTTAAAGGGTTCGGCAGGAGATCTTTCATTGTTTTCTGCAAAATTAAAGGTAAGTAGTTCTGATTTTAGCAGTTTCTTTTTGATGTAAATGTCGTTAACAGTTTGATTAATTTTTGTGAGATGAAAATGTCACAAATCTGCTGCTGCTTCTTTCATTCTTTTTGTAGCAATGGTCTTTTCTTTCTGTTGCTGTTGACTACATCAAATAAAAATCCACATCTTTTCAACCACTTTGTTGCAAATGCATCTTGCCTTCCAAACTAAAAGTATATTGTTAAGGGTCCCTTGGAATTCTTATTTCTTTTGTCGTTACCAACAGAGGAAAGATCTGCTTACATCTTATCTGGTTGGTTGGGACATACTGGGTTTGTTTGCTTTTGTTGTTATAAAACATGGTTGTGACAGAGATTGGATTCGAAACAAATCAACCCACATGTCGAAAAGAATCCAAGGTTCTTGGCTTGGATGAAAGTGGGTACAAAATCTCATCTTATTTCCTTGATATGAATTCTAATGCTTGTGATGGGTATTAGAATCTTATGCCTTTTTTTAAAGAAACCATGGGTGTTTGAGTCAGATTGAAGATGTATACTTTGAGCCGATCAAATTTGTTTGTTGACATGATACTAAGTGTTGTTTTGTATGTGATCCTTTGGGTTGAAGGGAAGTAAGAATGTGATTCTTTGGGTTGAGAGGATCTTTGTGATTCTTTGGCTTAAAGGAAAGATCTTGTTTGCTTTACCTTTTTTCTACTTTATAGTTTTCTTATCCATTAAAAAGCAATCATTGCATCAATTACATGCTCAAAAATATATCAATTATTTGATGATTACTAAACTACATGTTCTAAAATGTTATTTGGGTCACCAAATGATTAAGTTTTGTGTAATGATTTGTTGTTGCTCTAATTTCTCTTGAATTTATTTCTTACTATTAGGGATGGCAAAAAAACCTGCTCCTATCTGGGAACTTGATATTCCAGCTCGCTTGGATCAGAGAATATTAGTTATATATTTTTATGTATATATACACACACATTAAGAGGTTGTTTACCGAACACTTACTAAGCGTTTAACGGTAAAATTCAACATTATCACTTAGCGGGTAAAATTTTAGTCAACAAAAACGACATCTTATGCAACAATTTATCCGGTAAGCACTAACCATGGTAAGAGTCGTCGTCCTCACTTACTAGGTAAGACTCTCGGTCCTTGCATCATTCTTACTGGGTAAGATTCTTGATCATTGCCATTTTCATCACGACGTAAGGTAATGTGACTTGGGAAACGTTTACTCGGATATATGTTTGGTAAACGGTCTCTAAGTATAATGAGAAATTCAATAAATGTATTTAATATATAAATATAATCAATCTTCCATGATGAAAACTTATAAAAGAAATTAGGTTATTGAGTTGGTTGTTCGTGAGAAACTTTTATTCATATAACGACATGGTTATATAAAATTTTAATTATTAAGTATTGTAATTGATGTATTTGTGTTTGAACTACGTTTTTTACGTTACTCTTTTACAAATGCAACAATTAAAAATTGGGTGATTAATATTTTCACATTATATGCAGTTTAAATAAAAAATTGACATTTATATACACAATATAAAAAACATTATGTAAAGAAATTAAATTATGTAGACGGGAAAAAAAATCCACGATTCCCCAATCGAGATGAGGTCCATAGGGATGAAATATTATTCCTCGATAGGGGCATCGGGATTGCGATTCCCGGGACCCCCGGCCCCGTTGTCATCTTTAGCTTCTATTCTATGTTTTATTAACATATTAGTGGTAAAATAGATGAGTTGGTTACTGCTAAATATCAATGTTTAAAAAGGTGTGTCATGGTTTTTGTTATGGTGTGAAATAGCGTAAAACGCGTCTCCGCTGTCACGATAAACCCTACAGCATTTATGTAAGGTTATAAGCCCTATAGTGTCTTAGGTGCTGTTTACCAAACGCTTACCCGGGTAAACGTTTACCAAATCACTTTACTTTACCGGATGAATATGACAAGGGCTAGTAATCTTACCCGGTAAGAGCGAATGCAAGAATCCAGAGTTTTACCCGGTAAGTGAGAACAAAGACTCTTACCATGGTTAGCGTTTACCGGGATAAATTGTTGCATACGATGCATTTTAGTGAATACAATCTTACCCAATAAGTAATGGATAATGTTGAATTTTACCGGTAAGTACTTACCGGGTAAGTGTTTAGGTAAATCGCCCCTTACTGTCTTAGGACATGCATTTTTTTTAACAAGACGTGACCTTTCACACTTTTAACTTTAAATTTTACACTTTTTATTAATTTATCTAATTACATCACTCACAGTTTCACAAATTCATACACTTTATGGACTCAATATTAAAAACGATGTTGTAAAATTACCCTTCTAAGTTCTATTTTGAATATTTAATAAAAAAATTAATTTTGTAATTATATATATATATATATACATATATATATATATATATTAATATAAACAACAACTTTTTTATTATCTTTATCTGATTGAATAATATACAGAAAACTGTAAGAAATCAGTTATAATGAACTCAGTGATCATTAGGGGTGGCAATGGGCCAGGTTAGGTTGGGTTAGGGTTCAACCTATTTATTAAATAGGTTGAAAATCTCAACTCAACCCAACCCATTTAATTAAATGGGTTGAGATTTTTCAACCCAACCCAATCTGTTGGGTTAATGAGTTGACAACGGGTTGATTTGTTTATGATTTTCTTAATCCAACCTGTTAAATAAATGGGTTGAATCTGGGTTGACCTATTTAATTTTTAAAATTTTAAATAAAAAAAAGACTATTTAACTTTTTTGAATAAAACATAACATAACCACAAATTCAACCAAATTGTTCAAAGTCTGAATAATACACAACCATAACAAATATATTGTTCAAAATAAATTGAATTTTTTTAAAATTCTAAGTAACTCAACTTCCACTTTCATCAACCCCAATTTCACTCTCGGTATTACTTTCTTCTTGATCTTCTATCTTCTCTGTCATGATTGATCCACATAGCGCATCAAGATGCGCTTCCATTTGTACTACGTAAATAAATTAAATTATTAACTTAGTTATAGCCTTATAGCAAATACATGGTTTTATAAGATAAGAAGAAATATACAAATAATAAATTARAACAAAYMTTCTCCATATACCCAATCTCTTAAACAAACAATAGCCTCAATTATAGAAGACTTCAATGAACTTCTATAAGCATTGAAGTATTGAAAACAATGAGTCATCATGAAACTTGGGCCAATATTTAAGAAGAAACAAAATAAAAATAAAATAGATATAATATTAAGAATAAAATAAATTTATATAATATTTTAAGTGAGTTGAAAACGGGTCAAAAAATTCAACCCAACCCAACCCAATCCATTTATTTAAATGGGTTAAGACGGATTAACCCATTTATTTAAATGAGTTGAAAATTTCAACCCAACCTGTTAATTCTGGGTTGGGTTCGTTGTCGTAGGGAGAGGCAATCTTACCCCCGAACTTCATTTCATTTTCAGTTGCCGATTGTAATCTATGAATAAAAAAACACGCTCGGTTCGATGTCGGTTTGCCACTTTTTCTTGATTTAAAACAATAGAAATAGATCGTATTGTATCTTTGATGATAGGTCTGGCCCAGGCCCAAGTTCTGGAGGGTCACAGCCCAATACGAAAATGTTGGGTTTTGATGGACCCGAGGACTTATGTATTTGCGCAATGTAACGAAATATATTTCGATTTAAAAGTTTCGTTTTATTTTGTCTCTATCAATGTTATAATACGATTTTATGTGGTACTGGAAAAACGATAATGTTTTTATTTTTTGAATAAAATATAAATTTATAGGTTTCATAAAATTTGAAAAAAATATATCGATTTTAGTATTAACTTAAATATTTAAACGTTCTTGTTTTTTGTGTAATTACTTTAATTCAGTTTTTTATTATAATTTAATTTAGATTTAATAATCGAGTCATTTATTTTATAGTTTAATAATAAAAGTTTTTTTTTATAAATATGATAATTAGTATTTTGTTAAAGTTCAATGATTATCCTAAATATATTTTAGATTTTTTATATTTAAAATAAGATACCTATCCAATATTTGATTATGTTTATCTGCAATTAGTTACACAGATTCAAACATGAAGCTTTAATAAGTTGTACATATGCATAATTTATTTATAATCTTGAATTTTAAGTAATCTGCATCAATAAACAGTACTTAATACATAAAAAAAATATTTCTTAAGAGTTTTTTGCAAATACTTTATAATATAGTATAAATAAATATGTGTTAATTTGGGTTGTATTTTATTTATGTTAAAATTATTTATGAAATTCAGAAAACTGAATATAATTTTGTCAAGTCGTCTCAACCGGTTTTTACTCGGTTAAAAATGTATTTGTTTCGACTTCTTGTACATCTCATTTTATCTGTCTATTATATTAATAGTCTACATATACTTTTTCTTTTGCAATAACACTGAACCCATATTATATAATACGGGTTTATCACTAATTGCTGTTAAGAAATATATATATATATATATATATATATATATATAGAGAGAGAGAGAGAGAGAGAGATGAGGTTTACTTTACAAACCAAGTTATTGTATAAACCTCATTCAATCAATCATAATTTTTTATTTTGTTCATTTTTTTGTAATTATGAGAGGTTGATTAATCATTTTTATTGTGGAGAGTGTTAATCATGGATATTATCATCTTCATTATTTTAATTTTAGAGAAATACATTAAACAGTTTTATTAAAATTTTATTAAGTACTATATGAAACAATTTCATAATCATATATGAATTTACGCATCAAAAGTGGTTTTTAAGAATTTTTGTCAAATGCTTTATATACTACAAGGGTACTCGTGCAATGCAGCGATACATCTTGATTTTAATATTTCATTTTATTATTTATCTCAGTCGATGTTATAATATGGTTTTACGTGATTTTGAATTTTTTTAATATAATATAAATTTGAAAATATCATAAAAATTTGACAAAAAATATATCGATATTAGTATCAAATTAACTATTTAAAATTTCTAATTTTTGTGTAATTTTTTAATTCAAATTTTTATTATAATTTAATTTAGGTTCAATAACGAAGTAATTTATATTTGGTTTAATAAAATAATTTTCTTATAAAGATAATAATTAATTATTTTGATAGAACTCGATAATTATCCTAATTATATTTTAGTTTTTTTATATTTTAAAATAAGATGTTTATTCTCTTTTGATTATATTTATCCGTAGTTAGTTACACGAGTTCAAACATGGAGCTTTAATAAACTGTACATATGAAAAATTACTTGTAATTTTGAATTTTAAGTAATATGTATCAATAAACAGTACTTTATGCATAAAAAATGGTTTTTAAGAGTTTTTGTCAAATGTTTTATAATATAGTATATAGATAGTATATATACTAAAATTGAGTATGTACGGACTAAGAACAATAAAAAAAAATTTGAACAAGACAACGCAACCCATTTATTTGAAGGTTTTGGACATTTTGATGAATAAACCACAAAGTGTGGGGGGATTTTGATGATTTAGTCTTCTTTGGGAAACTATTTGATGTTAGGGTACGTTTGGTTTATAAACCGTTTGGGAACACATAGTATTGTTTAAGCCACATTTGGGAAATGTAAATAGTATGATTTCGTTTGGGCTTTTGATTTGTCTCAACCGATGATGAGTTTTTGAGTTAATCATACTTTTGGAGCATGTGTTTGCATAAAAGTTGGTTAAATGCGTTTTATTGTTTATAATTACTTTGATTGAATAGTCAATTGAGTTTTGAGATTTTGGCTCGGTTTTGACTTAGATGGTCTTGGGGGACATTTTGTCCAGTTTATTTTGCTTTATGTCGAGCTTTTGGAGTTATATGCAGTTTTGACATATTTAATTGAAAGTTACATGCTTAGGGTGTGTGGTCATTCATTTAGGGTCATGTAACTTAGACTGTAATGCAATGGAGCCACATACATAGGAGTCGATCTTTGTTGGTTTAAAATCGGATGGTTATTCTTGTATAGTGGCTAGAACTAGGCATTGGGTCATSGGGGGGGGGGGGGGGGGGGGGGGGGTTATGACGCGAGCTCTTACAGTCGGTCATCAGCCATTGACCATATAACGTAATTTATGAGTTAGTTTGATGGTTTAAAATGGGATGGTTATTCCCATACAATAAGCAAAAATAGGCATTTGGTTATTGGGGGTATTATGGTGCAGGCTCTTGGATTCGGTCATCGGCTAATGACCATAATGTGTAATTTCTAAGTCGATTCGATAGTTTAAAAAGAGATGGTTATTCTCGCATTGTAGTTAGAAATAGGCATTGGATCATCGGGGTCATTATGGTGCGGGCTCATAGAGTCAAACTTTCCATTGACCACATGGTGTAATTTCTAGTGAACGAGCATATCTAGGATTATCGGGGGTCTCGAGCAAGTATAGACCGTGAATGGTTGAACTTGATGCAATTGATCCGTAAAAGAGCTGATTAACTTTGATACATGGCTTACATTCTATTACGCCACGATCAAGGGATATAGGTTCTCATATGATACCAAACAAATTACTGGTTCTCATATGAAACAATAAATGTTTATATTACTTTACTTTCATACCAATATTGTCTCATTTATGAAACAATACTTCAACACTACACCAAAATTGGGTTTATAAGACGCCCTCAATCTCTAAGTGTCTCAATAGACCGCTTTATAAGACTTAATTTATAGGACCAAAAATATAAAACGTCCTATCTAAAGGCGTTGTAATAAGTTTATATGACGCTTTTGGACGTCTTAATAAGTTTTTTAGGACATTTTTAATACAAAGTGTCACATTAGCAACTTTATAGGACACTTTTGAGAAAGTGTCCTATAAACTCAATTTTTTATAGGACACTTGTTTTTATAAGACAATTTTTCAAATTGTGTCCTATAAAGTTGCTAACGAGACGCTTTATATTAAGCGTCTCTTAAAAAACTTATTACGACGTCAAAAAATGTCATATAAACTTATTACAACGCCTTTAGATAGGACACTTTATTTTTTTGTCCTATAAACTAAGTCCTATAAAGATGTCTATTAGAACGCTTAGAAATTGGGAACGTCCTATAAACCCGATTTTGTTGTAATGTAGCCTTTTAATACGTGACTGTTTTATTTCTCATAAGAAGTCAAACCAATTATTGGTTCTCATATGAAACAATTAAAGTTTTTGTTACCTAATTTCATACAAATGTTCTTTTTTCACATATGAAACAATTAAATGCGTTATTTGGAAATCAAATAAATTCAATAATTTGTCCTCTAAAAAAAAGAACAATGTGAATAAGTTTGTACGGTTTGTAACATTTAGTTACCGTTTACCTAAATGCTTATCCGGTAGGCTCTTACCGTTACGAGTTAACATTGTAATTTATTTTATCATGTAAGATTGTAGTACATTAAAATGATATCGTATGCAACAATTTATCCGGTAAGCGCTTACCCGCGTAAGAGTCATCACATTCACTTACCGAGTAAGACTCTTCATCTTTATCATTGCTCTTACCGAGTAAGATTTTTGATTTCTGACTCTTGCCATGTTCATCCGGTATCCCAATAAGCACTTACTGGATAAACGTTTACCGAATAATGTCTCAAAATATGTATATATTGATATTGCTTAAAAGCAGATAAGCAGCATGTGTTGCAGTTTTTGCCTTTTATTGCTGTTTGATGCAGTTATGAAATTCTTTTCAGTTTTAAGTCATCTTTTTTCAAGTCCAAGTTCATGTTCCTTTTTTGCTTTCCTTGATTCAGCAAGTCATGTACATAAAGCACATGCCTACAAAGCTCCCTCTTACACATTTCATAAAAGAAGCATCCTTTCCTTCGTTCTAACATTTACGACTTTGACCATGAAATATCGGATAATTTCTTGCATGAATATGCGAAAGATAGAGGGGTAGTTTCGTAACTTTTACAAATAGACAGCAAACGGGTTCATTATCTGGTACGAATCCATTTGCCGCCTATTTAATTTATAAGAGTACGAATCTACCCTTCTATCTTCACCCATGCGAGGAACTCTCCGGTGTTTCACGATCAAAGCTGCAAATGTTGACCAGATAAAATACTACGATCACTTTTTTACTTCTCAAATGTACATTTCCCTGTATATATACACACGTATATACATATACATTTACACAAGGGATCGGGTGAGAATAAAAGTTATGGGGAGCCATGTCACAATACTTGGCCTTTAGACGAGTTGACTTTTTAATCCAACTTAAATTTTTTTTTCAACTGGTTTTAGTATATTCAAATTCATTCATCTACATTTATATTTTTTTTAAATTTATCGTCACTTTTAAGTCATTTTTACGAACTTTTTCATATATTTAATCACTTTCATACTCATGAATTTGGGAAATTTTCGGTCATAATAATTTAATGATATGATACGTGTATGTTTTCTTCTTGGATCTTGGCTCATGCAGCAATGGACAATCAGTAACTAAGATCAAGGGTCATATATATATATATATAAAAAACAAGACTTGGGATCATATGAGACCAAAGGTTTTTCGTGAGATCCGTAAGACCAATTCTTAACCCTTGGATTAGATCTATAATCTGAACATTTATAATCACAAAATTGCCACGAGAATTCTCAATAAACACAAAATTGTCACCGTGCAACCTTAGACCATTAGATTATTAGTTTATAAAGTTGATCAATGAACATAAATTAATCTTATGGTTCTCACGAAAAGCTCTTGCTCTCACGTGAACTCAACCCATATAAGCAATATTATTGGTTAATTATATGAAAATGATTATATATGTGGATCCCTCACAGATTTTTGATAGGAAATATATGGTTTTGAAAACCCTAGCCCCTTTTGTTGCTTTCTGTACCCTCTCTTGTCTTGTTGTCTCTCTTTAGCTCTCTTTTTCCCATTCTTTACTTTTTCTCTACTGATTTTCCAGTGGGCACCTCTTTCTTTTTCACCATCTCCCATTAAAAAACACAATCATATCTAAATGAGTAGTACCATCTATATATATATATATATATATATATATAATATATATCACTTCAAAATGCTCTTCCCAAAGTGAACTCTAGGTTGGGCTTCTTAAGCCTGGCCTCTGAATGGCTCGATGAGCTCACTTCTGATGATCTCTCGTTCTTCATGCCTTTTGAACTCATTTCCTTCTGTAACAAGAAACGGATACATTATTAATTCAAGACAACATCATGACCATATATAGAACTATCAAACTTGAAACTTTGGTTTGCAGTTTGAATCCTTCTTATATATATATATATATATATATGAGAACCACGTACGTACCATTGCAATTAATTTGCCATAATGAAGGGTTTACATGTAGTGAATACGTTGGAGGGTGTAGGTTCTTTTGAGGTTTCAGTATCGTAGGTAGCTAGTGTTGGTAGGATGTAACCTAGATATGAATTGAAGGGGATAGGGTTTTGTTTATTTTCTTTGCTTCAAGTGTAGCTTATTGAAATGTATTATTGGCACTTAAATATTTGGATCATGCATGACCTCCCTAGCTACCCAATTCAAATACATTGCCTTTGTAACTCATATACATACATACATACATATATATATATATATCACATTCTTAGGACATATAGAATGTATCTATATATTCCCATGCAAAGCTTAAAGATCACTATCACATTGTATAAAGTATCTAAGTGGTAATTGAGCATATTTATTATACATATACCTCTCTCTCTCTCTCATACACACACATATATATATATATATAGAGAGAGAGAGAGGATGAGAGAGAGAGAGAGAGAGAGAGAGAGAGAGAGAGAGAGAGAAAGAAAGAGCATACACATAAACTCAGTCTATCTCAAAAGAATACAACTTTAATTTTAATACAAAAATAGTTTGAAAATATATGAGGAGCAAATATATATGTAGTTTTAGCTTTAAGACGAAACTTACCAAAAACATTGCCAACATATATATATATATATATATGTATATGTAGTTCCTGCGTCTCATTCAAATAGAATGTAGTTACTCTATCCTATAAGAAGATGCCACCAGAAAGTTGCAAAATCCTTTTCATTTCAATAAGTTTTATGCTAAGCCTATACGTCTTTTAAAAGTTAATCAAACTAAACAAACCCGGTATATCCCCCGAAGGTAAAGTGATGCATACAGATCTGACCTATACTCTCATAAGAATAGAGTGAATGTTTTTGAGAAAAACTCCGTGTGTGTGTGTATATATATATATATATATAAATGGAAGTGTTTGGAAATAGCATTTGTACCTCAAGAGATGGTATGTTTGCTTCAAAATCTCCATGTTTGCCATGCAACAAAGCTTCCCTGTAACAGAAACAACCATTGCCATTTGCCAAGATTGAGAAGGGAATAATTCATTAATCAGTGCAAAGCCCATACAGAAGAAAAGAAGAGAAAAAGCAAACCCATATATATAAAGAAAGCCTTATTTATTTCATTGGCTAGTTTATAGCTAGCTACCTTCTCACTTTACCATTGTTCTTTTGAGATAAAAGATTCAAATCAACCCATGTGAACCCCATTACCATGCCATGTACACAAGACCAAAAAGGGGGGAAATCAAGAGTGGTGACCGATTGCTTTGAACTTGAGCTCCAAAGGTCAAAAATTAAAATCTCTTGTGGCCATGGAGGTTCAAGTGCGGTAACTCAGGGCTACCCGTGAAATGGGTGGTCATCCTGAAATTATTCGGCTCGTATAACAGGTTGAATATCCAGGTTAATAAAAAAAGGGGAGGGAGGAATCAAGAACAATTATAATAAACACAGATGTATAGACACAAGGTACAAGGAAGTTTCAAAGAGATAGCTTTTGGCACCAAGTATAGGAAGTAATGGGTCCCTTCTTGAATGGTCATATTTGATTGAAGACCACAAGATCAATAGGGAAAGAGATGGGTTGATTTTTGCTTTCTTTTTTAAGGGATATATATATATATATATATATATATATATATATAAACATGTTTTCCTTTAAAGCTCCTTTTCATGCCATTTGAAAGGGAGGTTATTTTTTGGAAGACTCACAAAGCACATTAATCAAGAGGTAGAACTTTATTCAACCAATTGACCATCCTTAAGTCCTAATTAATTAGGTAATACACAAGTGTGACATTTAACCCCAGAGAGAGAGAGAGAGATTAATGTTAGCTTCGAAACAAAGCATACGGGAGGGAGATGGAATAGTACGTTGAGAAAGGATCGAACACTATATCAAGGGGTTCAAGACTCACAAACGACATAATTAATACGTTTTTTGATCTAGAAATAGTCCGTGTTGAGAATGCCACCATACAAGAAATGTGAGGAATGTTGATGTTGAAACCTGATTGATATAGTTGCAATGCTAAAGAACTGGAAAAAAGAATTTCAAAAGTATTCTTGATAACCATTTTTAATTTTGCAATATAATCACGCACGACCATGAAAATATAATTGTTGATAAATGTACTGACAATCAAGTTCTCTACATGTTTTTTCATGAATAAAATTACGTTTTGAATTTCAAGAAACATTAAATTTACTAGTAAAAGCAATTAAATATAATTAGCATAAGTTTTCACCTTGAGGAATTGCTCCAAACACCATACTGAAACTCTTTATCTTGATAAACACTAGACCTTCCTCCTCCATGTTCGGTTGATAACTCCGTTCTTCGATTTTCAGTGCCAAGAATTATGTCATAAGAGTTATCCCCTGAAGACCCGTTATCAAAAACTTCCGGTTGCCCTAATTAAACCAGGGTCCGCAAGTTAATAAAAGCATCCTACAAGCTAAAACACATACAAAAGACAAGGTATATAGGTTATTTGATTAACCTGTAGAAAGTAATGCTTTATGATCGGTTGTCTTTACGGTTCGATACATCTGCAAAACAAGAACAAACAAATTATTATATTTCTATCAAAACTAATAACATATGACAACGTAACACAATATAATTTAAAGGAGCAACATGATATTCGTGATCTCATCATATATATCTTTCGTTGGTTACTAAATACTATATATTAATTAAACTTACATTTTTTCTATTAACTTGGATATCCAACCCGCTATGCGAGCTGACTAATTCCAGGGCCACCACCTGTTTTATAGATGGCCCGGAGTCATTATATTTGAACCTCCGTGACCACAAGGAGATTTTTATTTCTCCTTATATTTGAACCTGAGACCTCCTGATACTTTTGACCTTTGAAGCCAAGTTCAAACCAATCAGTCCCAACCCTTGTGGTTAATTAAACTTACATTTACCATTTTGTAAAAGTGAAATATGCGTTTGATGCATCATAAAAGGTAGGTTAAGTACAAATGTGAACACATATATGTGTGTGTGAGAGATATATATCATGCATAAAGAAAGCATATAATTTTAAAAAGAATCTATAGTAGACTGCATGTCTATACGAGTGAAAGACAATTCAACTTAACCAATGGACTTAACCATGGTTAAGAAACGACATGTGATGCTACTAGACATCTATACACACATATATATCATTGACAAATGATGGCCTTTTTTGTACTTTCACATATCTCAAGTTTCCCTCTGAAAAGGAGAGAATTATTAATGTTGTTATTCAATTCAAAGTAAGAAATACACACAATTACACAGTGGACTGTGTGCAAACTTGTCTTGCTTGTGCTCTATCTCTTTGTTTTCAATTCCTTAGGCTTTGTCTTCTTGTGTATGTGTGTCAATATATATATATATATATATATATATATACATACACACACTAAATACGGCTGCATGTAGTAGTAGTAGTATGTATGTATGTATATGTATGCATTAATGAATGCAATATTAAAGTTTAAATCTTTAAAAACATGTGTCCTGGAAAGCAAGAAAAGCTGATTTTGAAAGCTGTGATTACGCAGAACCATCAGATCTAGTAGCAGGAGAAGAAGAAAAGGAGAACAAGAATAAGTGCCAAGAACTAGAGATGGCTCTCAGCTGCATGGAAACGTATATATATAAATATATAGAATTTATTTTAACATATATATCTAGATTTTCTGATAATGCGAAGTTAAAAGTCAAAGCAAATATAAATAAACGGAGTTCTGTCCCTGCATATAAAATTTCAGACTTCAGTTTGAAGGTTCCTTCTTTATGTAATATATATATATACACACACACACACAGAGACACACACTACATAGACAATGAATCTTGAAAAACTATAAAGTATAAAGATCCTTTGCATCGATACCTAACCAAAATAATGCATCTTACGTTTTTTTCTTTTCTAAAACATAAATTTATTATAAACAAATTGGCAAATTAATACGATTCTTGAAAATGGCAATCAACGAGAAAATGATGAATACAAATGGGATATAGATTATAAACAAAACCCCCCATTTGAAATAGTTGGAGAATAATGGAATCGGAGGTGGGTTAATCAAGTTCACCTGTAAGTGAGATTTGACATGTGCTAATGTGAGATCCTTCACATCCATTAGCTCAAGAACTGACTTGGGTGTTGCTCCTAATTGAGTTCATGATTACACAAATAACATCAGTAAAAGTGAAATGCAAATTAGAAAACCAAAAGAACCGATATTTTTGTGTTTGATTCAGCAAGATTGTAAGAGCTACAGAATTGACATACTTTCATGGCCACCCAAGAGCTCAACGGCATGGACAAAGCGAGCATGAAGGGTGGTGGTCCATCGCATCCTTGGAGCTCTCACACTACGCTTAGCAGGAAACCTTGAAGACAAGAATCTTGATCGTGCAATATTGTTGATACTATTGCCATGAATAAGAGAAGCAGAACTACTGGAAGTAGCAGTAATGCAAGAATCTGATGAAGTCTGGTTGTTTTGATGGTGATATTGAGCTAATATCTGGAAATTAGGATGTGTATTCTGGTAGTAAAGGGGAACCCCTCTTATGGGTGTCAATAACCCTAGCTCTGAGCTTAACTTTTGATGATGGTACTGTTGAAGATTTGTTGTTGAGTTGGTCATGTTCTGGGTGAGGTCTGAATCATTCAAATGGGATGTTTGGTAGGGGAAGTAGAGTCCGAATGAGGTGTCGGATCTTGCTGTTGAGCCATGGTGGTTGTTTTGGGAGCTTAAAGCTCTCTTCCAGAAATGACCCAAATCCAAATCATGATCTTGATCATTTGGGTTTGATGTTCTCCAAGTTGTTGAAGTGGGTTGGGTGTCGGGTGGGCTGATTCGAAGAGACAGGTCTGGTTGTGCAGGAAAGAACTCCATTTGCACTTGCAAAGCTCTCAACTTTATCTCTCTTTGTTGTTCTTGCTTCAACCCTTGAGGTTATAATCAAGATTCTTGTGAGAAGGGATGTGTCTTTAATGGAGAAAGATGGAGCTAGAGGTATGAAGTGAATGGTATGGTTGTATATGGTATGTGAAGTATATGTGTGAAAATGACACTTGAAGAGACCTAGGGAGGGGGCGGGGGTGGGGTGGTGGTGGGGGGGCCTTAATTTCTGTATGTGGACGTGGGGGTAGGATAGAGAAAGAGAGGAAAAAGATGAAAAAAGGAAAAAAAAAGTGAATAAGTTTGAGACTTGATTCCTTTACCATCTTTAACTTTTTCTTCTTGAATTTTTAAGTTTTTACTTTAAAGTATTGCATCCAAATTAATATCCGAAATCTAAGGGAATTGATGACATAATTCAGTGCTTATTCTTATTAGTTCAATAAACCATGTATATATATATATATATATATATATATATATACTTTTTATTGGGAACAATTAATATGCCACAAGTCATGGATACAAAAATTATATCTTTTTCTTAATAAATTTTATAAAAATGAAACTTGTTGATAACATAAGATGATTAATTAAAGATACCATCTCTTAGAATACCTTTTCAAAAAAAAAATAGACTTGATACATACATATATATATATATATATAGAGAGAGAGAGAGAGAGGGGGGGGGGTTGGTTATTATACAATATTTGACATTTGTGCAACCAATACAACCCAATCTCAACCGTCCATTTCATTTGATTAATATGTTATTTCATAGAAGTTTTGATTGTTTCTTAATATAAAGTATTGATCATAATTAATGAATCATATTCATCTTTCATAAATATTCAAATCATAATAAATGAACTCTCATTATTTTCATAAATATCTTAATTTATTGGGTTGCATTGGTTGTACAAATGCGACGGATTGTATTTGAAACAAACTCTCTCTCTATATATATATATATATATATATACACACACACACACACTAGAAGGGTACTCGTGCAATGCATCGAGATATATCTTGATTTTAATATTTTGTTTTATTATTTATCTCAGTCGATATTATAATATGGTCTTATGTGATTTTAAAAAGACGATAATCTTTTTATCATTGAATAAGATATAAATTTGAAAATACCACAAAAATTTTACAAAAATATATCAATATTACTATCAAATTAACTATTTAAAATTCTTCAATTTTTGCGTAATTTTTTAATTCAATTTTTTTTATTATAATTTAATTTAGGTTCAATAACGAAATAATTTATATTTTATTTAATAATATAATTTTTTTATAAATTGTAATAATTAATTATTTTGTTAGAATTCAATAATTATCTTAATTATATTTTAGATTTTCTATATTATAAAATGAGATGTTTATTCTCTATTTGATTATGTTTATACGCAGTTAGTTACACTAATTCAAACATGAAGCTTTAATAAGTTGTACTTATGTACAATTTACTTGTAATCTTGAATTTTAAGTAATATGTATCAATAAATAGTACTTCATGCATAAAAAATAGGTTTTAAGAGTTTTTTTTCAAATGTTTTATAATATAGTATAGATATGTGTGTGTGTATATATATGTATGTATAACTTGTGAAAGTATTGTCCAAGTATATGTATGTATGATATGCGTATTCATGGTTTGAATTCGTGGTTTTGAATTCGATCACAACCTAAATGTTTACAACTCAATAGAATTAAATATCTGGTTTTATTTATCTGGTGTAATATTATTAGCTGACATGATAAAGATATATATAACAAAAACAACAATAAGATCATCTTTGCTTTTAATGTAATACCATGAGATCCAATTACTCTCTATATATTATATATTAGAGGGGGTCTTCTTTTGAAAATCGTGCAACTTTTAGATCCACGAGATTTAATATAACCAAATAACGGAACCTACTGTAATCACAAGTGAACACAAAAACCGAAAAACAACATATCATTAAAAACATTTTGTAATGACTTGATTATTCATTGTGAACAATATGAATAATCAAGTTTGAATATCCGTCAAGCATCTCTGGTGAACCCAAAATCAAAATCATGTAGTATCACCATGTGAACCACTATCAAATATATTGTTTCAGTTAAATATTGTGACCACCTACTTTTTTACATATTACGATCACCTATTAATTTTTTACAAATTATAATCATCTTGTGAACATAACATGCCACAACAGTACCAAGAACAAAAAACCAAAAAAATTTGAAGATCCCTCAAAATATTGTGTAAATACTTAAATACACATTGTGAACAATTAATAAATGTTTTATTTGAAGAGTTATGCATATTTATTTATAGAAGTTACAGTTAAAAGGCAATACCGTCAGCCGAAACACAAGTAAACGAAAAACTGAACTTCATTGAGAAACCAGAAGCTATTATTGTTTACAAAGTCAAAAGGTTGCAAAACAAAGAAATCAGATTAGTAAAGGTTCAGTAATGATATCACAAAGGGTCAAGAGACTATTTGGGAATCAGAATCAGAAATGATATCGCAATAAGAGTTTGTTCGAATAACTGAATTTCGGGATAGATTTATGTTAAGGGGAAGATGTTGTAATACCCTTAGGTTATTTATTTTAGAAGATTTGAAAGTTGAGGGGTTTTATGTGTTGATTTCCTATAGATGAGGGTATGATTTGAAATTATGGTGGTATAAAACCACCACCACCTCATTTTTGTTTCTGAATGAGGTTTCTTTCAAACCAAATTTGGGTGTGAGTGATGGGTTTTGCTCCTGGAGAGCAGTGGGTTTTATTTGTGGGTTTTTGTTCTAGTTTAGTTGAGTTCTTGGATACCATGGTTAAATGAAGTTTATGCTTTGAGATGGATGTTGTTATTGTTTCCAATAATGTTTTTATGAATTTGTTTATGCAAAATTGTGTCAGTGTTGTTTTTGAGTAGAAACCTAAATAAATTTTATGTTACAATTTTGGAAAGGATTTTGGGTTGATTTATAAAGTTGCAGGTTGAACAGGGGAGGAAAGAGACGAAAGAGTGGTGGCGCGACCTAGCTCGCGATCTGAGTCGCGTGGCTAGTCGCGTTACTCACTGTGGTGGTTTTTTTCTCAGTTTTCTTCCGTGTTGTTTTGGGATCTTTAGGTGTCTTAGAGATTGTATAGAATAATGGTAAAGCCAATTTGTTTACACTAACTGTTGTGTATAGTTGCTTAGGAGGGATATTGTGCCTGAATACTAACTTTATAACTAATTGGGAGGTTGTGCCTGAGTGCCAATTTATAACTAACTGGGATGTAGTGTCTGAGAGCCTACTGTATGATTACTGATTTAAAAGAATTTATTTGAACTGGTTTATTCCAGTTGCCTCCTTTTGAGCTAGTCAAGCAGGCGTTGTTCACTAGATCATATGGTTTAAGCCTTATTTTTTGTTTTAAAAAATATGTATTTCAGGGCAGCAACTTTAGAAGGTAAAGGAAAAAGTATGAGACTGTAGTATTTGAAGTTTTATGTGTTAAGTTTGTCAAAGAATTTTATGAAGTCTGCTTTTGATCTCCTCGTTATATGTTATACCTTTTTGGTATAAAGATCTTTTTGACAAAAAATTTGTAGTAGATTTCAAGCAGTTGATTGTTTGTAGACTGAGACCCAATTTGTATTCCCAAATGGAAGTTATGTATAAACTATGTGTTATATATCCTGTGAAGTACTGTTTATTAATGCATAATACTTAAAACTTAATATTACAAGTAAATTATGTGTAAGTACAACTTATTAAAACTATATTTTTAAATTCGTATAACCAACTGCAGATAAATATAATCAAATACAGAATAAACATTTCATTTTAAATATAAAAAAATCTAAAATATAATTAAGATAATCATTGAGTTTTAACAGAATCATCATCTTTATAAAACTTGTATTGTTAAGCCAAAAATAAATTACTTCACTCTTTGACCTACATTAAATTATAATAGAAAAATGAATTAAAGAAATTGTACAAAAAACCGAGAACTTTTAAATAGTTAATTTGATATTAATATCGATATATTTTTTTCAAAAATTTATGATATATTCAAATTTATTTTTATTCAAAAGTAAAAACATTATTTTTCTCAAAACCACATAAACCGTATTATATAAACGAGACAAAAAATAAAATGAAACATTAAAATGAAGATATATCTCATTGTTAAATACACCTCTATCTATGAATTTTTTTTCTTACATACATCAACATCAAGACATATTTTTTTCTTTATTCTCAATATATGAACTGACTTAATTGTGACATAAAAGATGTGTAAATAGCGTTTTATTATATTTATCCTATTTTATGTCAGAATAAGATTAAATCATATATTAAAAATATAAAGAAATTAGAAAATTTATAGGTAGAATTAAATTTAGCAATACAAAAAGACTTCTGGTACAACTGTCTAAATAAATTCTTATTAGCTTTATTTATGTTAATATTAATATTAATATACAAGAGGAGGTTGGGGGTGTGATAAGCAGTCAATCAAGGTGCATAAATAAATGGTAGATTGATTAGATGGCATAGGATTCATCTTGTCTCAAGAGTATTCCACACCCAGATCGCCCTACTCTTCGGTCAAAGATTTCTTGAGTGTCTGCATACATACATACATACATACATATATATATATATATATAGGGTTGGGTTCACATGAGACCAATAGTTTTTCGTGAGACCCGTAAGACCAATTTATGTTTATTGATCAACTTTATAAGTTAATGATCTAATGGTCTAAAGTTGTACGGTGGCAATTTTGTGATTATAAATATTCAGATTGTAAATCTAATCTAAGGGTTGAGAATTGGTCTTACGGGTCTCACGAAACACCTTGGGTCTCACATGATCTTGATATATATATATAGATAGATAGATAGATACATATGTGCATAGATGGAGGTTTAAACGAGAATACTTTCATTTTATGAGGACGCGAGAACACAATTA